AGGCATTGGTTGCCCGCGCAGGGGCTTAAGTTTTCAGTACATACATTTGCGTGCATTTTGTCGCCTACGCAAAGGCTGATTAGTCATTGCATGCTTGATACAGTATATAGATAACCATTTGTTTGCTCGTTGTGCTTATCTGCGTGACTTGTAGTGTGCCTTTGTTGCGTTTGCACAGGCTAATCTGGTTTTGGGTGTTTTTACCATGTGCTATATGAGTAGTTTGTGCCTGCGGGCCCCGTTGTGTCCAGTCCCTGGTTGCTCTGGTCGCGTGTTTGCTGTATCTCGCTTTTCTGTGTCCTACTCCGTCTCTGGCTTCTGTTTGGTGTCTATGCCACCTGTGGTGGGTGGGGTCCCCTTTGGGCAATGTCGTGTTGGGTTCCTGTTGGTCCTTCTTGGGAGCTTTTCTCTTGGACCCCCTTGCCAATGATTCCCTTGGTGTCTATGCTTAGTGTGTACCTGTGGTTTGCTTGTGCGATGATTCCCTCAGATATTGTGCCTATGTATTTTGCCTACGAATAACTATCGTGGGGGCCCCTTCTGTCTTCCCCTAGCTCCCAGTATCCTCCCGCTGGCTGGGCCCACCCATCTCTTTCTCGTTCGGTCCCCCCCTCCGTTTCCTTGCATGTGTTCTGTGCCCCCCTCTTTCCCTTCCTCCCCCAGCGTACATACATGAGTTGCGGTACAGTGTTCGTGGGGTGTTTTTTTTTGTGTGTGTTCCCCTCTCACCCCCTCCCCTCCCTTACCTCCTTCCCCCCCTCCACCTCTCCTCCCCTTTCATTCGACATTTCCCCTTCTGGCCCTCCCTCCCCCCTGTTCGTCTTGTTATGTCTTTGTTGGTGTCTTCCAGCCAGTAGTGTGTCCCGTGTCGTGACACAGCCGAGTTGCACTGTCCATTCGCCTGTCTGGGTTGTGTCATGCCGGTGTAGGAGCTTGATCTCTTATCACACCCCAAACATCCTGTATTGCCCTCCCCTTGGCTCTGCCAGCGTGCAATGAGTTTCCTCAGCATGGAACCCTTGCCGTTGGCAGTCCCTTCTGTGTTTGCTTCGCTCCTGTTCCCCCATGCCACCATCCCCCTCCCCAGCGTATGCCAGTGTGGCTGGTATACTTTCTTGCTTCACCCCAAATAGTACTTACAGTTTGCCCATTGTGTCCTGCTGCGTGTTGGTCCCCAGACTGTCGACCCCTTCTCGCTGTGTGGTGCTCTGTTAGTTCTCCTGCTCCCGTCATGCCGGGCCCGGGTTCCAGTCTCTGCGTTGCTGTTGCTGGAGTCTTGGGGGGCCCTGGTCTGGTCTGCGCGGCTGTTGTGGTCCAGGCGGTGGTTGGAGAAAAGATCTCGCCAGCCAGTCTGGTACTTGAATCTGTGGGATGCCCATGGCTCGAAGGAATCCTGAGAGGTCGCTTGGTCTCCTCACCACAAGTTGATCCGGGCCGTGTCTAGCTGAGAGTGAGAATGGGTAACCCCAGCGGTATGGTATTCCTGCCTGTTGCAGGGCGGATGTTATTGGGCGTAGGGCCCTTCTGGCTTGTAGGGTGTATCTAGATAGGTCTTGATAAATCGATATGGTTTGATTCTCAAAGCGTATGGTTCCCATGCGGCGGGCCGTGCCAGGATGTCTTCTTTCAGTTGGTAATTTTCTAGGCAGCATATGATATCTCTTGGTTGTTCTTCTGGTGGCGGCATTGGTCGCAGTGCCATGTGTGCCCTTACTATGCCTAGTCTGGGTATTTGCTGGCCCCCCAGTACCTGCGTGAACAGTCGCTTTAGGGTGTCAGGTATGTGTTCCGCTGGGTCACCTTCCTTCACCCTGCGGACGTGCAGGTTCAGCCTGCGGCCACGGTTATCCAGGTCATCCACCCATGTGGTGAGGCTGGCTAGATCTGCTTCCTCGTTGGCAACTGTGGAGTTTGTGTGTTCTAGGTCTGTGCGGAGCGCCCTGGTCTCAGACTCTGCTACCGACATGTGGGCCTCCACATTAGCCAGGTCTGCACGTAGCTGGGCCACCTCCTCTCTCACTACCCTGCCCAAACGATCTGACAAGGCCTCAAAGTCTGCCTTAGTCAGTAGATTCGGCAATATGGCCCTCCACTCACCCTCCTGCGTTAGTTGTGGCTCAGACATGATTGAGGATGTAGGTGATATCCTGGCCGGTGTGGAGGGGAGGGAGTCCATGTCCTGGCTTGCGGCCTCCGTCTCCCTTTGCGGTGACCGCGGGCGGGCCGCGGCTGGAAGGTAGGAGTGGATGGATTGCTCCCCTTCCCTGCCTGTCGTCCTCGGGGTGGTGCTGGGGTCTGTGGGCTTCCTTGTGCGACCCATTACCTGTGCGTGGGCGAGCGGTATGTGCGGGTTGTCGCTGTTTTCTTGCGGGCGCCATGAGGAGCTCCTGCATTAGGCGTCCATCTTCCTCGGCCGCCGGACACGCCCCCCTCAATATTGATTTTGGCACGCGGCACGTCCCGGGGTATCTGAACATTGTGGCTGATGCACTTTTTTTCATTTGCCGTGGTCCTGGTTTTGCCTGGAGGTGCCGGGGGCGCAGGAAGTCGGGGACTCATGCCCGGAGGAGATGTGGCTGCTTGGGACCGTTTGCTTGGGGGATTCGTGAGGTCATCCTTGACCCCGGGAACGTGGTCTGCATATTGTAAGGTTTTGGGGTTGTGAGAGAAGTCATTGGATGAGTGTAAGAGGGGCGCTTCAGAGGGTTCCAGTTTGGATGCACTGTTGTGGTTTATGTTTGAATTGTTGAGGAAGGGTTCATCGTCGGTGGTTGTGGACAGGCACAGGGCGGCGCTGGCATTCTGGTTGAAGTTGCTGGATGCGTGGAGACCTGTGTCCATACGTCTGTTGAGAGATCTGGTTAGGGTTTTGCCAGAAGTTTGCTTTAGTGACTGTAACAAACTCCCCTTCCCATGTGAGTTTGCCACGAGCTCCTGTAGGAGCCTGCTTGCCAGCCTCCTGCCCACAGACTATGGGCCCTGCAGGAAAACCTGCAAAAGGCTACCGAACTTGACCGACTGTTCGCACTGATTTCCTGGAACTGTCTTGGGAATGGGTCCATGTGCACAAGTCAAAATTATGACTTCCATGGAAACCCTGAACTGATCTGGTTGATTTTTGGATATGTTAGTCCCGAGCTGGGGGTACTTTTGGGGTGTTGTTAAAATGTAAGTTTTCTGTGCCTGGAGATAATTGAGTTTAGTACAGTTCCTGACTCTATTATCTCTCCGGCACAGGGAAGGGATTATCTTATTTTGTGTGGGAGTGTCCTGGACCTGAGAGCCAATGTAATTAGAGTGTGTACTTTGTCACAATCCCCTCTAAGGTCCAGTGGGGAATGCCCCTGGAATATGTTATGGAAAACCCCTTGCTTGGGCACTTGCACATAAGGCCAGCTGTGGCTGCCATTAAACAGTTCCTCTTCACCCTCAGCATAGAGCCTTGTCTCATGTGTGGAGGGGACAGCTATCTTCACTCTGGGGATTGCTATACTCCTTAAACTACCTGGGATTATAATCTCTAGCTCTTGTAAGAGCTATCCTGCTATACTCTCTGGAGTAGGAGAGGTCTACCCACTGGAAGCTAACTTGAGTCCAGGGTGGGTGGAGGACAGCGAGACCCCAGCCAACTTAGGGTCTACAGTGGTGCTGGTGTCTGGTGGAGTGCTTGGAGTACTCGGTGAGCACTAGGAAGAATCGATTGGTGGAGGCACCCAGTCGGCGTGCTAGGCGGTCCGTTACAGTGACAATGAAGCTCTGTTATTTGTGGTGGCGTTTTTCGGGGCGTTCTGGGGGTGTTAACTGGTCAGTGCTAATCGGGACGGTGGTGCCCCATGCAGTGGGACGATGTCTCGGTGGTTGCAGACAGGGTGATTATTAATTTGGCCCGTTCAAAAATGGATGTGCGTGGGAAGGGTAAGGAGATAGAATTGCACACGATCCCAGAGTCCCCCTTCTGCCCGGTGGGCGCCGTGGAAAGATACTTGGAGAAAAGCCCGGCGGGGTTGAGGGATCCTTTTTGGTCCACGTGGATAGGTCATAGCTGTCTAGGTTTCAGTTTTTCAAGGATTTTCGGATGGGGCTAGGAATCTTGGGGTTATGCTCAGCACAGTGTGGAATGCACTTGTTCCATATTAGGGCCGCTATGGAGGTGACTCGATTGGGGTTTGGCGAAGAATTGGTTAAGAGGATTGGCAGATGAGAATATGTGGGGTTCTGCTCCTACGTTCGACTGGGTAAACTGGTGTGATGGGGCGGGGGAGGGGGTGCAGGTTGGTAGGGCAGCTGACTTTGCATTCTTCTTTCCCTAGGTCATGTGGCATGGATCATTGGGCACTCTTACGTCTTCTGGGCCAAGAGGAGAGCTGCAGTTCGATTTAAGGGTCAGCGGCTGGGCTTTCCTGAGGACCAGTTGGTGTTAAAATTGTTCGGGTTCCAGGGGTTCGGATGGAGGTCGGTGTGAAGGGTGGTAGACCCTATTTCATGGTCTTCCATGCAGAGGGGTAATTATTTGGGGCTGGTTTTGCAGAGGTACCTGGTTAGATGGATAAAGCAAGACATCAATGGGATTCGGGATTTGATCCCAGGGGTAATGGTCAGCTGGAGATTGTTCCATGCCTTCAGTGGCAGTATGCGAGGGATGGTGTGGCGATTGATCGCTGCCGAAGTAAGGTGAACAACTTAATGGCTAGCTTTATTCTGAAGTTGGGGGGATAGTGGTTAGGCACAGGGAGCTGGAAAATAGGTGGGTTGGAATTTGTTAAATTTGGGGTTTCAGGAAGGTCTTGGCAGAGTGCTGTTTTTGCAGGGAGGCAGAGCTCAGACGGCTTAAGGGTCAAGATCTGAGCTTGTGGCTGGGCTAGTAAGGGAAAGGAAATGGGGGGATAGGGACTTTGGAGTTAGAAAAGGAGCAAAGGGTAGAAAAAGGAGTGGTGAAATAGAATCAGCGTTATCAGTTGGTTATGGTGTTGGGAGTCCGTAGGTGGCTCAGAACCTTGGAGGTGTGGGGCTATCAGGGTATACCCTCGCCACTCGGCTGTTAAGAGGATGTTGGCACTTTATTGTTATGTGTTATATATTATGTTATTTATGGTTAGTCAATGCCCTAGTTATTCTTGGGTCTGAGAAAATATAAGATGGCAATAGGTGGGGGGCAATGAATTTTATTATTATTATTATATTGTGTTCAATAAAGCTGTGGAAAAATTTTCCCATATCTGGTGGTGTGCTTTTGTTATAAAAGGGGTTGATGTGGGTTTGACAAGTACAGATTCACCTGCCCATATGGCGACACTGCAGCTGTCATGGAATGTGCTCAGAAATGTTGCAAAGGTTAAAATGTATTACATACTTATACCCACTACAGATCTCATACCAGTAAATGCTTTCAGTCATGCACATCTCCCACATTAGCAAGAAAGAAATTAAACGGGGTAGATTGGGGTTACACAGTTACACCTACCACTATAACAGGGCTACAAACTTTGACCTATAAAACTAGAATGCTTAAAACCATGTAAAAAGAGATGTGTAATATTATCCCAAATGAGCAGAAGGTCACATCACCTGGAAACAAATCAATAGTTTATGTTCATGGCTTTCCAGTCTACTGTTTGTTCAAGGAATGCAGGCAGTGTGCTTTGTAATTGTCTCAAAGATAGAACTGCTGAGAAACTGTGACTCAGGAAGTTTGCAAGAAGTCAATTTTTTTTCTTATTTAACCCCTTCCTTAACAACCTTACAGAAGCTCTGCGCAAATAAACTATTGAAGAAAAGTACCACTTATCAATTCCTATCAATTCCACCACTAGTAACCACAATCTGATTAATTAATCTGCATAGCAGAGAGCCTGTAAATATTACGTGACTTCCTCCTCCTTTACTTTATAGGAGACACTAAAACTCAAAAGTAAAAAGCTACATTCAAGCTTCCAGGGAGGAAAGATGAAGGGATCAGGGTATGCTGCAGGGCTTATTTGAACTGATGCTGCACAAAAAGACATAAAGGTATGCAAATTTGCAAGAGACGGAACTGGAATAGAAACTGTCCCAATACATTTCCAGCCTAAAACCAAGGACAATATGGCCCAAAGAGGTTCTGATGTGCACCCAGTGCTGTCTTTAATATCACTAGGACCCTGGGCACCCCACTCCCTGGCATGCAATCGCACCTCTCACATACATACTTACACAGACATACACACGGACAGACATACTGACACACGCACATATATACTGACAGACATGCTGACACACACAGACACAAACACATCTGACAGACATACTGTCACACAGACACATACCCTGAGAGGCATACAGGCCCTGGGGAGATAGCGCAGCTAAGCGGACAAGTGCACATGTATGAGTGTGGGGATAGATGCATGGGATTGGTTGGGAAAATGTGTGTGTGGGATTATGTTATGGGAAAGAATGTGTGGGTGGGATTATGTTCTGTGTAAATTAGTGTGGGGGAGGTCCTACCTCAGTGCCACTTGGGATTCGGGACCGCAAACAGCTTCTTGTCCTCCTGCTCCTGTTTGCCTCCTGTTCCTGTTTCCCCCCCACCCCCTGCAGCCTGTCTCTCTCTGGGGCCTTCCCTGTAGCCCCTGCTCCTGGGGGGTACCTGCCGCTAAAGGGGGTACCCTGTCACTCTTCCTTGGGCCCGGTTGAGGTGTGGGAGCCTGGGCCCGAGGCATCGCCAGGACTACGTGTCTGGGGGCTCCAGACACGCGGCCTGCGACTTTTAAGGTGTATTCGCGGCCCTCAGGTGCCGCTCGGGAAGTGCGGCCTACTCGGCCTGCATCTGCGGCCAGGGGCGGTGGACGGCAGGCCGCACTTTTCCAGCAGCGGGCGCCCAGCTGCCTTTTTAATCCCCCCGCGGCCAGCGGGATGGCGGGGCTGTGGCAGAGCCCCCAAAGGTGGGTAGGTCGTGCGGGGTACTCCGGTACCGCCGTTGAGGAACTCTGGTGGTCCGGGAGCCTCCTCCGCCGGTCTCCCCCCACTCTCTGTCACTCCGCTTTCCCTTTGTCCCCTGGCTCTTTCCGTTCTGCCCCCACCCCCTCCAGTTTTCTTCCCTCCCCTCTCCTTATACTGATCTGGTCCTTGGGCACCCCCCCCCCCCTTATTTTGCTTTCCGGGGGGCACCCTACTCCTCACCCGGTATCCCCCTGGTTCTTC